CTCTGGGCAGCTGCAGCAAGCAGCGGGCAGGCTGCAAACATCTGTGCTGGGCTCTAGAGCTCTGGCATCAGCTCTGTGCTTGCAGCAACTTCATGCGCATCTCGGGGTGGGCTGTACTGAGAGGTCGGAGTAATTTCATCAGCTAAACTGGGTGAAATATAATTTGTTTGCCATGAATTGCTAGAGTCCTTATGTTTAATTCTTAAAATTTCAAAAGCAGCCTGTGTCCCAAAGAACATATATAAATGTGCATCATCATGAATATGATGACTGACAGGCCTGGAGTTTGTGGGTTTGAAGTTGATGGAACCTGGAATGTGAGGAGACCAACAGGGCAACATTTCAGAGGGAACAGTATAAAAGGTTTCTTTTGCAACAGTGAAAAGCTTGGAAGAATTTTATTAAAATTAGCTGTCCTCTGAAAAATTAATGTGTCAAATCTAGAGATTAAATTTGCTCATAGAGTGTAAACAGAGATTTCAGTCTTCTTTTAAGAGGAAATCCTAATGCAGCACAGTTTTAGTCATGGAGTAGCTTCCAATGCCTCCCTAATATGCCACAGTTACAATTTTTTAATGTATGATTTTCACCTCTTCATTAGATTAAATTTAGTGGAGCATGACCCTGACTAACTCTTGTCTTCAAACAGAACACTAGCTGACCACTGTACTAGCACAGGAAGTAGAGTCCATGATCAGTGAGGATTCAATGAGACCCTCTCAATCTTCAGAATATCCCACCCACTAAGCTCAAGTGCCAGTCTCTCAGCAATTCCCATAGCATAGCAGGCAAAATCTCTAGCCATCTGAAGAAAATCAACCTGATGAAAATGAAGGGATTACTTTTGAATGATCTAAATAGAAAGCTAAATAGAAGACTAATAATATCCCTTTCCATTGCCTGTTGACTACATTAGCTTTAACCAATCAAAGATATACATACAGAGCTAGCTAAGGTCATAAGATAAGGTCTTTGCTCTGCTGGACATCTTTTTGGAGAAAACACAGCAGTTAGATTAAATTACAGTACACCAAGCACACCATTAGCATATCCTCCCCAGAACAACCCCCCTCTCTCAATTCTCCCTGCAGATGGCAAACTCCCTTTTATTATAAATTACCTGAGCCAATATCTGGCCATCATGCTTTCATAATTTGCATCTAAGGTGGGCTTACTGCAACTCACCAAGTAAAGCTTGTGGATTGGCATGCCTTTTTTGCCTTAAAAAGGCTCCTGGAAGTTCTCTCCTCTTGGCTGAGGCAATGAAAAGTAGAATTTGTCCAGACAGAAAGAGGAAGCATGCAATCATTTTCTTCATTTTCAGAAAGAAGATGGACAACCAAGGATACCAAACTGTAACAGAGAAGAAGAGTGAAATGAACTCTCTGAGTGCAATAGATTTCATGATCCTGGCCACCACCCTGGTTCCACTGCTCCCCTTCTGTCATGCAAGCATCCAGTTATGCAGATGAAAAATGGGTCTTGTATCTCCAATAAAGAAGGTCTACATAAACATGAATTTCAGTCAGCAGACTTCAGTCTGGTCTTTTTAAGAATGCTATAAATATATCACTTTCATAGCTGACATTTAAAATAAATTCAAAAGAAGCTTTCAAAAGAAGCAAATGGATGGAAACATAGAAAAGGGACTTTCACTCAGTGTTCCTATTACTTTGTACAAGTAGATTTGGGATATATATTATCATGCTTAAAACTCTGATCTGTCTGTGGCTGGAAAATATTTTCCCAAGATATATGTCACCTCAGCTCTATCTTTGCCTCCTCTATGCCTTCTCTCTTCCCTATCCCACAAACAGCTCACTCATGTTGATTGCCATAAAGGAGGCAGCCCACAGTAGTAATGCTGTGATAATGAAGCTGAGCCAACAGCCCTGAAAGATGTGCAGACTGACAGGCAAAACTATACTCTTTTCCTAGAAAAAAAATTCCATTTAACATGGAACAAGATGGCAAATTTCACAGGCAACTTTAAATATCATCAGCACTTTTTAATTACACTTGTTATTGAAGCAGTGTTTTCCAAGATGCTGATAATGTTTTTGTACATTTCCCCAAGTCTGCGGTATAGAATCATACTAAGAATCATGTTTGGCTCCTGGTCGTTCCCAGGGCCTAGCTACCTAAGAGTATACCTATACTGTGTCCTCAGGACTCCCCAGCATCATTGTTCTCAAGTACCCCCACACACCCACCCACTCCCATTCACATATGCCTGGATATGAAGATGTGAAACTGCTCTATGGCACTACCTTCTGTAGTCCAAATATTGCAGAGGAAGAGTGCATGCTACAGCATAAATTCTGTTAAATCTGTTCCTTTGTAGATAAGAGAGGAAGCCCTGCTGTTAGACATCATGGCTAAGTACAGATGTTCAAAAAGCCCAGGAAGGAAGCTCTCTATCATGCTTTACTTAAAGTGGTCTAAGTTTGAGCAGGAGCACACCAAATAGATATTTCCCATTTGGTGGGGGGAGGAGGAGGGGTCCGCCAGTGCTGGTCAAGGCCAGCAGGTAGGGGGCACTCTTGAATGACTCCCAATGTGCCCTGCAGGCTCCCCCGGCTGCCAGACTCCCAAGTGGAGCCAGATGGGTAAATTCCCCAAGCTTGGCTGCTGGGCATGGGCCACCATACCCCCAACCCTCTGCTGTGTCACCACAGACCCTCCTTTGTGCCTAGCCCAAGGCTTCCAGAACAGCCCCAGAGTGAGTGCAAGTATCTGCTGTCATGACTTGCATGTGCCTCTGTGCTAGCCTGCCCACACCCTGCCATGGCATCCTGCTGCTTGCGCCTAAGTAGGGAGACCCAGGAACTGCAGCGGGTGCTGCTGGTTACCCTGCTTAACACTCACTGGAGGCTGGAGAACATCACTTGTGCCCACCCGGACCTGATGCAGCAGCAGCTTGAAATGGTGTGTGCCCTCAGGTCCACAAGCCACGATTTGGCCATCCCATGCATACCCACCCACCACACCCTGCATCTGCCAAGTGTCCAAGGCTGGGCCCCTGACTTTCACATGGCTAATGAGGACAAGGCCATTCAGGATGCCAAGGATGCTGGAGTGCTCTGGCACCACCTCCAGGCTGTCAAGCACTTGTTCTGTGCCTGTGCCAGCAGCACTGAATGGTGGAAGCAAATCATCCCAGGCACCTGGGATGACAAACAGTGGGTCCATACCTTCTGTATGTGCTAGACCACTTTCATGGATCTCAGTGTCCTGGTTGCCTCCCACATTGCACACCAGGATATTAGCATGTGGCCTCCCCTCACTCCGGAGAAGAGGGTGGCTACCCACAACAGTTACCACTATGTCTCCAACCAGTTCAGCATAGGCTAGACTACAGCCAAAGAGGCCATGAGGAAGGTATGCCTGGTCATCTAGGACATCCTGACCAACTGGTTTATCTCCCTTATATGGTGGAGGTAGTTGCAGGCTTCTGCTGCATGGGCTTCCCCAACTGAGTTGGGGCTGTTGACAGCACCCACATCTCCATCCTCTGCCCAGCATACGCCACCCAGGCATTCATCAGCTGCAAGACATACTTCTCCATTGTCCTGCAGGGTATCATTGACCACTGGGGCTGCTTCATCTACACGTTTGCAGGCTGGCAGGCAGCACCCATGATGACCAAATCTTCCACAACTCCCCACTTCCTGAGCTCATGAAGAGTGGGTGCTACATTCTTGGGGTCTCCAATTTCATCATTGGCAACACTGTTGTCCCCTCCCCCCACCATCAGGAACCCGGCTTATTCTCTTTGGCCCTGGCTGATGAAGCCCTATGCAGAGGGTGAAGCTGGACTGCTGGAAGGAGCACTTCAACTACTGCCTGAACAGATGTCGCATGATGATGAAGCATGCCTTCAGCCACCTTAGGGCATGCTGGCAGGCTTCAGCATGCACTTCAAGGTGGATGAGGTGAATCTGAGGCGACTCATTGTTGCTATATTTGTCCTCCACAACATCTGTGAGACCAGGGAGGAGGTCTTCCACAAAGGCCAGGCTGAGGGCATATTTGTACCCAGCATTGGAGTTGATCTAGTAAATGATCACCTTGAGATGCTGGATACCTTCAAGTCAGCTGGTCCTGACAGCCAATAATCAA